CTCGCGCGTTATTAGTGTTTAAACACTCGCGTATAACCGTCGAACCTGTTATAAATGCTTCTAAGTAACTTCCGCGTGTTTCTGTTTAAAAATGCTTGCGACTCACGTGTCGGTGACATACGAGTGTTCTGATTGACTACGTCACCTCCTGTCGATGTTGAGCCAATACCAGAAAATAGAGCATCTTTCAATTACTGAGGGTTAAAGTATTGTTTGCTTGACTGTCTATTTAGCGTTGAATCGTTTCGCGATGGGCGACTCTGACGACGAGTACGATAGAAAGAGAAGAGACAAATTTAGGGGAGAGAGGACAGAGTCTTATTCCAGAGAAGGCCGTCGAGATGACAGACGAAGGGACGATTGGGTCGACAGGTATATATTCAGTCTGTAATTTCACTGAAATCCCAATCCATGAATGAACTGCAATCGAATTGATCTAAATAGTCTGTCATAGTTTTAACTATAACGATTATTACAGAGAGTGGTCCAATAGACCCAGACAGCGTCCGGATTACAGGGAGTACCGTGGTGGTGGTGGTGGAGGACGTGACAGGTATAGCCCTGCCAGGTCCCAAGAGATGGCCCCTCCCATGAAAAGAATGAGAGCAGACTGGGAAGATCGACCTAGATACGGGCACGATTACTACAGCGGGGGTGGCGGCGGTGGTGCAACTTCCTGGGGTCCCGATCATTACCCGCCACCTCATCATGGAAATCATCACTATGGAAACCACGGCAACAGTAGCAGGTTCGTAGTTTTCATGTCATTTTCAAAACTGAGATGTTCGCTTTTTTTCTTCTCGCGAATTTGTTCTTGTCACGTAAACGGTCATGAGAAAGAGAGGTTGCGTCGTAACTATGCAAAAGAGGAGTCGTTTTACTCCAAGATTGTTGGCTAGATTAAGGTAACAGGCTAATTCTTCAAGTTCTTTTCTATAATTGTAAACTGTCGTTGTTGCTTCAGCCGAGAGGTAGCCGGTAATTTCAGCAATTCCAATGTCGAAACGCAACCGCCGATGATGTCTTTCAAAGCGTTTCTGGGAACGCAAGAAGATTCGATCACGGACGAAGAAGCTATTAAACTTTATAACGAGTATAAGTTGGAATTCAGGAGGCAACAGTTGAACGAATTCTTCGTTGCGCACAAGGACGAGGAATGGTATATTTCGTTTTTTTTTTTTTAGTATTCAGATATATCGCGAAGCTCAGTCGTACTTGAATGTGGATAAGAAAATAATTAATTTCTACAGTGGTCGATCGAAAAGTTATTTCACTTCAAACATCATTAGATTTCGACGTAATGAATCGTCTTTGACGCGTCACATTACCGCGATCATTCTATGAAAGGAGAGCCCACTGTAGGAAATAATCTTTTGATTCTAAAGAAGGCATCGAACCATCTGCTCGAGTATGTATGCGCACGATACGAGCGCATATATACGTCGAACAATGGGAGACTGTGAAAGGATGTAGTAGCTTTATAATTTTTGCTAAATTACAGACACAATTTAATCGGTAATCGCAAGCAATATGACCAGCTCTCTGTCTATCCCTACAGCGTACAGCCAGCAACCGCCTTGTCTTGGGCACAGGTCACCTTTATTTTTTCCGTACCGATATTTTATACATATTCGCGTGTTCGCGCATCGCAGAAGAAATCGAGGTGAAATCTCTGTTAGGTCTAGCTACATGAAATATGCGAGCTGGGCGCGCAAAGCCCAAAATGCGCTCGCGGTAGGCCGCGTTCTAAACCCGTTTAATCATTCACGAGATATCGAAAAACGATAACGCTATACGTTACAATAGACTTCCGAGTCGACGAGAAAACCGAATGCGAGTAAAAGTAACAGACTCTGCAGGTGAGGCTTCATTCTGTAACTGACAAATGTTGAAAAACAGATAATTTATGAAAAAGAAAAATAAGTCATCTTTCGAAGAAAAGGATACATAATATATACACATATATTTGGTTCGCTTTAGAAACGGATGGGAAATTTTTCAAAGAATAAATTATTTTCAAAGGATTCAGTTAAATAAAAAATAGCACGCTAGTGCTTACGTGAACGCGCACGATTCTCAATACAACGTATTGGGAAAAGATTAGCGAAACTAACTACCGTTTTGATTCCATTACGATTCCGTTTTAGAAAATATATATATACATACACGACAAATCCACAAATTGTACGTCTGTTTGCTTTAACTTACGGTTCGCCTGGTCTGGAATCGTATCTAATATGCTGTTGTTCTTTATCGATCGTGTAGGTTCAAAATAAAGTATCATCCGGAAGAGTCGGTCAAGAGAAAGGAGGAACAAGTGGCGGGACTTAAGGTACGGCATACGGAAGTTCATTTCCTTAGGGTTCGTTTTGAAGGGTTCTGAGAACCATTACGTTCTTACAGAAACGCGTTGAAGTGTTCTTGGAAATGCTCGAAAGTGGAGAGATAGACAAGGTTTCAGTGGACGCCGACCAAGCCGATGTCTTGTTACATCTGTTAGACGCGGTGGTTATTAAATTGGAGGGTGGCACCGAGGAGGATTTACAAATTCTGGACTCGAAACCGACGAACACGATTATACCTAAAGAGGCGATCAAGGAAAAGGAGGAGCAGAGGAACAAAGCTGGGGCTGATAAGAAAACTGATAACAGGTATGCTTCGAAACGCCAACTGATCGAAGAAGTAATAGTAGCGGTACATGCTAAATGGACATTTTCAGTGACGAAACTAAGCCAGTGGATGAAATCAGCCGGACTGAGAAGAACACGAAGAATGAACAAAACGCAGAATCCGAGGTAAAGGCAAAAAACGAAACCTCGTTAGAAGAGACAAAGAAACCAGACGAGAGCCTAGAAGAAACGACGAAAGAAGAAGATGTCGACAGCACTGGTACTTTAGATCTTTTTCATTCGAACTGAAAATATATCGAAGAAACATGCGTGTCTAAATTACCTTCGTTATGCAGTGGAAAAAACAGAAGAAGTCAACACTAAGAAGAGGAAACGAACTGAGAGCAACAGCAGCAGCAGTAGCAGCAGTAGCAGCAGTAGTTCCTCTGGTTCCGACAGTAACAAACCCGATACGCCAAAAACGGAAACTCGTGAGTCTTAATATAATGTGATTGATCGAGGGATTAGAAAGAATAAATAAATTATTTCCAGAGCCGGCCGAGAAGATGGATACTAACAACGAGAACGCGGACGCACAGGAGATCAAAGAAGATGATCAAGAGACAAAAGAGAAAACCGAACAGCCTGAGGCTAAAAAATCCGCAATGGAACCGGAAGCGGTGATCGATCTAGCTAGCGAGGATAAAGAAAAGGAACCTAGAGCTTTGCACAAGACCAGCAGCATCTTCCTTCGCAATCTGGCGCCTACGATAACGAAAGCGGAAGTCGAAGCGGTTGGTACTTTATTAGAAATACATTTATATTTACATGTCACGTAAAATGTTTAAATAATTTGCACGGAACAGATGTGCAAACGCTTCCCTGGATTTCTAAGAGTCGCCATAGCTGATCCTCAACCGGAACGCAGATGGTTTCGAAGGGGTTGGGTCTCTTTCGAGAGACAAGTGAACATAAAAGAGATATGCTGGAGTTTGAACAACATTCGAGTGAGTTAACTATTTGAAAGACGATTGTTAATCAAGGAAAATGTAAAATTAATATGATATAATCCGTACAGTTACGGGACTGCGAGCTCGGAGCCATAGTGAACCGAGATTTATCGCGACGCATTCGTACAGTGAACGGCATAACGTCTCACAAGCAAATTGTTAGACACGATATCAAGCTGAGCGCTAAGATCGTACACAATTTAGATAGCAGAGTTGGCCTCTGGAACGAAGAAAAGAAAGACGAGAACGCGGGTAAACACGAAGAGGACAATAAGGAAAATAAGAGCACGCAAAATGCACGCGATTTGGAACAAGCTGTGAGAATCCGTTCATTCTTCGAACATATAACTTGATTGGTATAATTTATTTAAAATCTGTTAACACCTTCAAAGGCATTTGGACTGTCATCGAAGAATCCAGTATTGAAGAACATAACGGACTACCTGATAGAAGAGGCATCAGCCGAAGAGGAGGAACTGTTAGGGATGTCCGGAGACCAGGAAGAAGGTCAATTGGGAGGTGACGGAGACGGCCCGATCGAGAGAGAGCCGACTCTTATCAAGGTACCGCAAAAAATATGAAGTTAAAAGATTCACACGGTTTTCTAAACATCGATCGTGTTCCTAGGTGTTGGACAGATTGATACTGTATTTACGAGTAGTTCATTCGGTCGATTACTATAATCATTGCGAGTACCCGAACGAAGACGAAATGCCAAACAGGTGCGGCATAATGCACGTTAGAGGATCTCCTCCGACTGCTAAAGTCTCCAACACGGAATTATCGGAATACTGCCGCAATTTCGAAAATAAAATGGCGGCGTTCTTGCAACCGATCGCGACCCTGTCTCAAGAGGAATTCGACAAGCTGGGCGCTAAAAACGCCGAAGCGTATCCTTCCTTTTAATTAAAACTCTTTTCTATCGAATTAGCTGGACGTATTATTTCCTTAAACTCTCGAATTAGTGAGGTTGAAAAGTTTGTAAAAGCGAATACCCAAGAGTTGTCGAAAGACAAGTGGCTGTGCCCGCTCAGTGGGAAGAAGTTCAAAGGACCGGACTTCATCCGAAAGCATATATTCAACAAACACGCAGAGAAGGTGGCAGAGGTTAAAGCGGAAGCCGAGTACTTTAACAATTATTTGAAAGATCCGAAAAGGCCTCAACTTCCCGAACATCCCGGGAACAAAGCGCCCGCGAGGGAGAATCTTCGCGAAGGATTTACTCCTTATGGGTGCAACACGTGAGTATAAAAAGAGACAACGAAGAAAATAACAATAAAGATTAATGAGAAATCTCATTTGCAAAGATTCGGTGGCTACGGAGGGGGCTACGGTGGCAGCAGAGGAGGATACGGATCGAGTTACGGTGGAGGTTTCGGTGGAGGTTTTGGAATGCCTCGTTCCAATCGCGGCGGATTCAACAGAGGACGGTAAGCCATTATTGTATTTCGCGCGACATGTATTCGCTACGCGACGAAACGCATTATCAAAGAAACTACTGAACGTTCGAGAATAAAATGGTACGCTTAAATTGGGCACGGAATACTGAACGTGGTGATACGGTATTTTACAGGGCTGCGCCGGACTCAGCTGCAAGGCCTATTATTAATTATAACGATTTGGACCTGCCAAACACAGACATATTCTAAGTTCTTAGTCTTCGTACAGACTCGAATTTTTAAACACGAAAACTTTTTCTATTTTAAGAACACTGTGACGAAATTCTAAAAGATGTGTATCTGGAATACGCATAGTATGACGAGCGAATATAAATTACATCATTGATCTGGCGACTATTTGTTACAACGTTTATCTTCTTCACGGATGACGTTGTCGTGTAAAAACGTGTAAATAAACGTAAAACACAGAAAATATTTCGGAGGGGGAATTTTACTAAAACATATTTCGCACCGTGTTTCTTTAAGAGCAAAAAGAAAACTGGGATTTGGCGGGTACTGTAATAATATACACACACAGATAAATAACAAATAAATTGATTTGTTACTACTTCCATACGCTCTTATTATTTTACATCCCATGACTCCGGTCGAATCCTAAGCTCGGTTGGTCGCGCGTCATCATTATTCTTCGAACTTAATACGCTTGAACGTAACTTTAATGCGTCGCACGTGTGACACATAAATACGAATCAGTGTTATCTGGTTGAATGCGGAACCGAATTAATTTCTGTTGCAGTGGCGGTGGAGGAGACTTTCGTCCAGTTATTCACTACCGCGACCTCGATGCGCCGAGAGAACCGGACGAATTCCTCTAAAGTGTATCTCGACGGTTAAACGGTTCAAGAGGAAACAGGGAGAAAATAATTAATCGCACGGTCCGTTTCGTTCTTTAACAAAAAGATGGACGATCTTGGGACGTGCGTCTTATATATTTGTACATACCTATCGAATCATTTTGCCTTCTACTTCAATCGTAAGAGACAGGGCAAAGTTTTCGCGAATGTATTGTAACATCGCATAAGTATACCTATATGTATCTAAAAACAGACTTTATACAATTATTGGCAGTAGTCGATTGTATACAAAAATATACGTAGGTGTAAATTTCAACTCTGATCGCCGTCGCGTATGTACATGCATTATTAGAATGATATACATTGAAAAGTAAAGATTTCCTATTTAGTAACAACGTCGATCTCTTGCATCTTATGCGTATTAGCTCCAAGTAAATATCCTATTAGATGTAACAGTCAATGTTTGTAATCAATCGTCATATGGTACAATAAAAATATATACTATTTCCTAATTACTCTAGTCTCGTTTAAGTCTCGTTCAGCTTCCGAATTCTTTATTACACACCACTGCATCTCCGATACAGCGCAGTTATGTACAACGTTCGGTTACACTTATCGGTAATAAAAATACTGTAAACCCATGATCTCAAGGCGAGAAACTATTAAATTAAGAGAACCGGTGTTTGCAGTACCTCTCGTCGCTCCCATCGCCGCAATCGTCGACTCCGTTGCACTTCATTCCCTTCGTAATGCATCTACTGTTTCTGCGTAACAAAGTAAAAACGTCATTGCATTCTTCTTAATTACTGATCAAGAATGCCGAGACGCGAGAAAGAATCGAGCAGCTGTCGTTTAAACTTTAGACCACGGAAAGCCGCATTATCGGCTCAAGAAACGATGAGTACATACGCGTTCGATACGTACAATGACATTTTGTGTTATTTTTCAAAGTTAGAATCGATCAATCAGCGTATTAAACGGAGACCTTAAAACTTTCTAATCGTCGTAGCGAGTTACTTACAGGCATGTGAACTCGTCTTTGTTGCATCGCCCTTTACAGCCGTGTGGCTCGTCGGAACCGTCGTCGCAGTCCTGGAAGCCGTCGCAGAAGCGGGCCTTCAGTATGCATTGGCCGTCGCTGCACGTGAACTCGTTCTCCGATGGACACGCTGGTATCAAAAGAAACGTTGTTGCGCACTTGTTACGCGACTGAGCTAATGAGACAAGCATCTCGCGTGCGGTTTCGCGTTCCTTATAAGCAGACGCGGATCATCGGCAAGCGAGAGAATTCGATCGGACGAAATTTAAAATGCATCGATCGCTCGGGGCACAGAAGCGAGATGAAAAGCGGCATTGTTAAAGCGTAAAATGAAAGGAATGCGTTGTGGCTGTGCGTCGAGGGAAAGTATGCGCGGAGCGTTTTTAACAGGACGGAGAAGCGTGTCCGTGCATCGCATGTGTGTATGAAATAAACGATCATATATGTACTCACACCCACCGAGATTATGACCTACGAAGAAGAACAGAAAAAAACATAGATTGAAAAGACCTTGACCCAAAGACGAGTACAAAAAAAAATATATAGAGAAAGGCCAAGAAAGAGAGAGAAAGAATAATCGTGCTAGCCGCTGGTCGTTGGCCGAAGGCGCGCGAATAATGGGACAAGAACGATTGTAATGTATTTCGATAATACAGATAATCAATTATAATCGGAGACGTGTCCAATGATTCGCGAACCAGCTGCCTCGACTCTCTCGTCGTCTTACCTACGGTGCAATTTATCTCGTCGATGGCGTCCCAGCAATCTATGTTGCCGTCGCATCTCTTCTCCAATGGCAGGCAGGAAGTCTCGTTACCGCAATGAAAATGCGTCTGAGGATCGCAGGCTGCGAACAAGAAATGTACTGTACATAAATAGAGAGATCGCGATTAGGTGTATCGCATCGCGCGATCTTCTCATAAACGCTGCGCTTTGTTCTCGCCTAACTAGCTAGGATTCTCTCGCGCCGCATAACACGTGTCGTCGCCGACTAGCTTACAGCCAGATTATATTTTACTCTAACAGACCGCGGTGTAAACCGAAGCCTCGCAAAATGTGACAAAGCGTCGACAAAGCCGATAACGAGGAAGGAGAGTATAGAGAAAACTGGGCTAATGCGATATACACGCTAACAGACTACGTACAGCAATTGTATTCGTCCGAATGGTCATAGCAGTTCATATGCCCGTCGCAACGTTTCTCTACGGGGATGCACATTGCGTTCAGGCAGGTCCATTCGTTGTCCTCGCAGTGCTCGACCTCGACACACCTTGCGAAACCAAAAATGAAAACGAGTATTAACCGGGAACATCGTACACGTCTTTCTATTTAAATATGGATAGAGCGGGCATACCTGAACGCGTCAACATCGAGCCGGTGACACTTTTGTTTGCTGATAAGACAAAAGCCAGCGCATCCTGTTGGATCTTGGAGATCGGAAGGGATTCTGCAAATCGGCACCTCCTCGTCTACCAGAGCGACGCAGACTTCTTCTTGTAGACAGTCGTCGCAGTACCTGGTGGAGTTGAGGCTCGTCACTTCCGTTTCCGGCGTAGGCGTAGAGCCGTTCTCCGGAAACGACTGCTCGCTGTTCAAGAAAATGCTCGTGGCAAGAGTGGTACTCGACGTCGTCGTTTCGTTCCACTGACTGAGGATCGTCTCCGTCGCGTTATCGTCCGACGACGAGTCGTTCGACTTCAGGTACAGATGAAGGATGTGCAATTTCTCGGGTACTGCCGACAAATCAGTTAGAAATAAAAATTTGAGATTTTAAGATTCCGCTTCGGACCGCGGACTTACATTTGAAATTTGTGCGAAAGCTGTAGCAGTCGCGTAAGCGATTGGCCGTTATCGAGGCAATTAAACGGAAGCGAAGAAGGACGCGACCATTTTAACGAGCGACAACAGCTTGGTTAAAGAATGACCGAGTCTCGAGCTCGAGACTGGTGGCTGGTCTAGAAATAACCGAGTTCGCGCGAGAGAAATAAACGGTCAACGGCTTTCGCCGAGTTTTACGCGCGTCGCGCCACGGCGTAAACTTTAGCCAACCCTCTGACGCTCGATTTCCTGTCAAGTATATTTCATTATTTCACACAATTTGAACGTACATTTACACGGAAAACATAACGAGTTATCTCAGGAAGTGAATTAGACATTAAATTCTTAAATCTGATTTTACGTGATACACAAGCAAGCGATTCTCCTTAATACATTATAATGTTGACTCCCGTTTATGCATGGAATCGCGAAAGCTTTTAAAACGCACTGCGCTCGCGATTGACCTACCAGTTAAATTCACTTTATTGTTACAATTATTAGGCGCGACGAAACCTCGGATCCTCATCATTCGTCGCCTCCTTAATTGTTCGAACGTCTTCCTCACCCACGCATATGATATCGAAATTAAAGTTGAACAGATGCTCACCAAAAACGAAATATAAAGCGACGCCTCCGATCACCAGGAGCACCACCAACGCGATCAGAAGGAAAACGAGGGGTCTGGAACAGCTAGGTGTCTGTTGATCCGCCAGCTGAAGGGTCCATCCGCGCCTGTGTTTTCGTAGTCTGGCCGGATAAGGGGGTGGCTCCCCTCGAACGCTCCGCCGCAGGTTTATACGATTTTGGGAGGACGGGGTTTGCGTTCGTACCGGGAGGGAATAAGCCCTCTGCAAGAATAAAATCGATTATCACTGTCGATTCACGTACTCTACGAATAGAATACGAATTTTATGCAATTATAAGAAAGATTAATATCGAAGAATTATAAATATACAATGTTAAGATCTGAATACAATACTTCAATGTTTAACTTATCTAAGATACTTTCTAAACTGATATCACAAATGTTATACTTTACACAAAAATTCGTAGACTACACAGGGGTACGACGAAACAGTTTTTGAATAAATTTCAATTTGTCGTTTCATCAAATGTCCATCGCGAAACGCTCACCGAGAGATCATTGTTCACTGCATGATACCGATAGCCCGGACAATTTACCTCAGGACCAGCCATGGATGCGGCATTCTCTACGAACTGACACTGACACGCGGCTTCCGTCGTTTAGATCATCGTTAATTTCTTATCTATTTGTCGATATCGGAGCATAGTTTCCCGAGGACAAATAAGGCGTGGCGTAAGATATCAATCATTTCACGCGAAATAAAACCGAAGGATGCACGTCGACCGATTGACTCATTTCATTATTGCATTTCCGTTGTTTGAATTCACTTCGCGCTCTCTTTCGAATTTTAAGATTGACTGTATTTCGTGACGACGATTAATCGGTTTCTCTTTTTTAAAGAGAATCGAAGAAGCTTTCTGAGCAATGGTTCGCATCCAACTGACTAGCGGCCTTCCGAGGCCGCTTCTTCACCCGCGCTAAATCTCACCCTCTCGCTTTCTAAGCTGCCGCGAGATTTTCGCGATCGGGGCAAAGATCGATAGATCCGCTGGAGACGCGTCAGTCTTTAACTCTCACGCCTTTTCGCTTTACGGAAGACGCACGCGTTGCGAGGCGGCAACCAACAACAGACACGGACGATCATCCCGTCTGGCTATAGATAGACGTCTTCCACTTCCGTTCTGATTTGTCTCTTTACGCCGGACAAGCGCCAGACGTACACAGTCGGTGGAAGAGGCAAACATACCGAGCATAAATTGGCACCTGATCGTTCGGATAGCTAGACTGCAATAATTTTTACGACTGACAAAATTCCTGCGCTGAGTCAGAATCTCTTGTACTTAGAAAAACGGATATGTATCAACGAACAATTGTGATAACTAATCATTTCGCGGATTTTTTTGTGATACGCAAGCGTCACGCTTTTCATCATAATACATCCGATAATGTTATTAAAAAAAAAATGGATAAAGAAACCGATAATGAATCAAGTTCTGAATCTTTTCAGTTGTTTGGAATTCTGTATGAGAAACAGAGAGACTGAGGGAGAGTAATTCTTGTTTGAAATTAATTTATCCGGGACAGCGCGAACGCAGTCCCGACTACCAAAAATTATACGCCCGAGATATCCACATTAGGGATATTCGCAAGGGTCAGCCTAACCGTAGTGCAATGGAAAAGCCTCGCCCTGGAGGAACCGCCTTCTTGATCACGGTAACCTCTGCGCCAGGTAAGTATGCTTTCCTTCGTCGCAATCCCCAACTTATTCTTATCCGTCATAAAAATCATCCGCGAGAAACGAACACTCTCTCGCTCCATCTACCGGCCGAGTTTGCCATACCCGAGTAGGGATTCTCATCCTATCGTCGACAGTAGTTCTCATTGCACGATTATTTTTAATTGATGCATAAGAAACATCGTTTATCTCATTGTTCACAATCGTGAATACTATTGAGGATAAAGTAATTTCATATACGGGTGTTTGCGAAATCGTGGTACAAGGGCATAAGTCCTCACATAAAATCTGGTCGAAAACAAGGAATACAGTTTTTTCATACCGAGCGCCATTTTCGAAAAAATTGAGTTTGAAAATTCGTTTTTTTTTTTTGTCCAAGATATTCTCTATCAAAGTAGAGCACTCACCTGAAACGGACTGTGTTCCTTGACGTCAACGGCGAATATCGCTGGCTCTTTGGTATACCAACGATCCTGCGAGTAAATAGAGTTCACCCTCATACCGGCCCTCTTCTCCGACGATTCCTTCGCCTCCGTCGAATTGAGACGGCTCACACTTCCATTTCTTTGTCTGTCTATCAGCTTCATCGTGCTCGCCGGTGAACCGGCGATTTTCTCGGAGATCGTTAAGATCGAGTCGTTTCCCGTGGCAGGCGTCTCCGAGTTTCCAATCGCCGAACGCGTAGCGAAGTTTCGTGGGTGGAGAACGGTTCGGGGATCGTCGAACGTACTCTGGTCGTTCCTGAGGACGGTTTCGTCTTCCCCTTCGACGTTCTGTTCGACGTTGCCAACGAGTTTGCTTCTGCAGTGCTTACAGTCTTTCTTCTTGCGCCTCCTGGTTGGCTTGCATTCCGCCGACGTCGCTCGGAAGGAGAGACCATCGTCGACGACGTCTTCCGCATTTCCGTCGACGCTCTTCCGGTTCGTTAGACGAACGGAGGAGCTGGCGGTGAACGGGTCGTGGCCGGAACCACGACGAAGCGGCAGCGTCAGATTTCGTCGAAAATCACCGACGGCCTCTTCCACGGATTTCGTCACAGCGCTCTCGGAAACGTAATCGATCGCGTTCAACGGTCGGGCCGCGTGAATAGCGCTGGATCCTCGAGAATTCTGGCAACGCTTCGGCAGTTGCTCCACCGCGGGCAAAATGTCTTCGTACACGTGGCCGTCCGGGTTCGAGTGGAACGAGAACACGGAATCTGGGCTTCGCGGATGGCTCTCCTCCTCGAAACCTTGGTTCTCCATCTACGTACGAAAAGACAAGAGAATTTTATTACAACGCACGATCGGACGTCTCGATCACAGAATGAATATGATCGATTCGGAACAGTTTACGATCTCCGCGATGGATATAATTAGAGGTTCGGCTGGTCGCGTTCGCCAATTATCGTGTCCCCGATGACTCTCGCTTTTTCCTCCGGGTGGCTCGGCTCGTGGAAACCGGCCGGCCGTTCGATTCGTTCATCATCGAATGTGGGTAGAGAAAAAGCCGAACGCTCCCACGGAGAACCGATCCACACACAAACCTCTTTACGACCGATTAAATCAATCGATATCGCGACCGACCGTAGAAAACAGCCGGCCGTCGATTCTTTCTTCGTTTTCGGTGATTGATCGTTTCGGATTTCGTTGGAAATTCTTGAGTGGAAACACGGTACGACGGAACGTGGAGGAACGAGGAGTGTGAACGATGTGATTAACGATCGGCAATCCCGGATGCCTCGTGAGTCTAAGTAAATAGCGCGATGGGGGTCGCAAATTGAACACGCGGGGACGCGGCCGGGGCGAGCCAGATCGGAGAAAAGGGAGTCGCGCGATGAACGAGGGAGCGGAATTAAGCGTCTCGTTGGGAAGCATCCCGACGATTGTCGCAATTATCGCGACTTGACTCTCCGATTGATCCCGGGCTAACCGGCTGACGTCATCGACCTCGTGGATCTTCTGCGATCGTTCCATTCTCGGGTGCTCCGATCTTTCATTACTACGATACACGCGATACTCACTGGCCGTTCGGTTTTCTCCACGCAATTTCACGCGCTTGTCGTACGCGCGAGATTTTAAGGTTGTACGAACCCTTACATAAAAACAATCACAAAGCATTGAAATTCGTATAATTACTAGA